TTCACTGGGCATCTGACGTAAGGAATGTAATTCCAATTGCCACTGACCTTCAGTTCGGCGTTCAGAATAAGCATCTAATAAGAAGTCTTTTAAATCTTTCCATTCGTCAAATGTTCTGTTTCTAGTTATGGCCCTAGCTTTATCGGTTAATTTAGTTTCTATAATGGCTAATAAGATGGGTTTGGATTGCGGATTTACTAAATTGTATGCTTTATCACAATTGTCTATGAATTCGTATAATTTTGATTTTGTACCATCAAATCTAATGAGAAGTTTTTCAGCTATTTCAATTGATACTGACATTTTATTTGAATTAGAAGTAGAAGAATTTGAAAGAGAATTTGAGTCGGGAGAAGGTATTTGTTCGTCAAATAAGTTACTTATATCAGGATATAAAGTAGACATACGTTTACAAGATTTTTAAAATATGAGACAGAATTTAAGATAGAATGTACTTACAAGTAGAATATTGTTGTTGGTCGCATAGTCTATTATTCCACGGGTTCACCTCTACTTCCGATGGAACTACAATTGGGTTATGACTGGAACTGGATTTCGAACTGGATGTACTGGACCCCAATGTAATTAGTTGTAGTGGCGATTTTTCCACACTGACAGTTTTTTTTTGAATGATTCCTCGAAGGAAACAAGTCAATTCAAAAATTCCTCAGCTCTCCTTCTATCAGCAATCAGAGGAACTCTGCTACTAATATCCCACGTTCTGACACCAAATTTTGTTATGGAATACTATGCGTTTATTTCTTCTCCGGACTAACTCTTTGTTTTGGAATTAAACAGAATATATTGACATGTATAAATTTATTATATTAGAGGATGAAAATTACACTGCCTGTTATTTCTTAAAACTATGAATTTATAAGTTCTGTTATCTACAATTATTTAACGATGTTTCTGGATGGATTTGAGTACAAGAGATTGGACTCAAATATTAATATTAAAATAGCAAATACGGATAGCTTATCGAACAAAGAAATAAGAGAAATAAATTATTATTATTCCATAGATACGAAGTATTAGGCGAATAAACTAGCGAAACTTATTTATTCTAAATAGGAAAATATTTATGAAGAGTATTGATTCTGATTTCTAACAGCAAATAATTATTAGTGATTATACATGAGAACTTTTCATAATTGTAAATAACATATACCAGGTGACTAAAAACTATATAGAAATACATAGATACTTTAATTATCTTACATGTGAGTAGGTAGGTACATTACACTATGAGTAACAATTTTTATTAAGTCTTTAATATACAAAATCAATATTTATTAATTAAACATTATTAAAAGTCACTCTCGTCTCTGTCCAAGTCAGGATCTACGTCTCTAACATCGGCAGCACTCTTTAGATTTTCGTAAAAGTGATGAAAGTATTCCGGTATTAAAGGTAGCAAAGAAATTAAATCTCGCTTTTTATCTGCACTTATTGCCACCTGTTGGTCCGTAATCGGCTGCAGTATAAAATTTCTTGGTTGTCTTGTTGGTCTTTTGAAAGAAATAGTTTTGAACGGCTCATTTTGCTGAAGGGATGTTTTGTAATTAATACTACCGAAATCGCGTCCGTAAGAAAGCCATTTAACGTCAAACCACTTAAAATTATTACCACCGCAATCTTTTTTTCGCATAATAAGAGGACCTTTAAGCAAAGCAGCAAAATCAAAAAAATCAGCCTGTTGCATTTCAACAACCTTAAATTTATTGCTGCTTGTACGAATCAGTTGCATCCAGTCATGTGGATGATAAACTTGTATAGCCGTTTTTTTCTTCTTCTTTTCTATTATAGCATGGTCCAAATCTACTTCCATATGTGAGTGACCCGATACCATAAACTTGTGATGAATAACTTGTAACGTTGGTTTAGCCTGCAACAAATATGTAAACATTGCTGCGACATGTGAATTTTTGTTTTGTCCCCCACATGTATCTGAATACAGAATAATTTCTGTGACATCATCAGGTATCGCTAGCATGTACTTATACAGACATGATGCTACTTGATTAGCACCTCTTCCTGATATAGCCTCATGCCACATAAAATGTGTAGACAAACCAGTTGCGTTATCGTGGATTGTTAAATTAAACGTCCATAGCTTTCTCTTATAAAAAGCAACTGATGTCTCTAAAGCAGGAGTCGGGAGACATTGCTGCAAATCAAACGTGAGACAACGAGTTTGATTATTGTTAGCAGCTAATATTTTATCGGCTTTCTTTTCACGATATGCTAAATCAGCGGCATGTTGGTGACACTCACGTTCTAAAATTATTGTGTTTTTCGCGGTTTCATCTTTAGCTATGTCGAGCTTCATCTTAAACACATCACATGCATTGCAAGTATCTACCTTTGGCTTTTTAAATTTTAAGTTTAGTTTGTGAAATTCTCTTCTGTATATTTTATCACTGACAGGTTGAACGTGCGACTCGGAATATAATGAATGCATTTTAGAAATAGTTAAATAGGATGGCAAATATTTACATGTGCTCCTTCGTCTGGTATAATGACTTTCATAAAGTGGAAAAGAATTAATATGGTTTATTACTTCCAGTAATTTATCTGCAGAATGTTTGTTTGAAGGTGGTTTCTTACCACGTTGATCTGGTTCCACGATGCCGCTGGAGCTGCTTCTCCTCTTTAGTCCAATAAGTTTAACGAAATTATCTGTGACATCCAAGGTTTTGAGAAAACATCCTTGACAGACTGTTATTCGGTTAGAGTTAATTTCGAAATGATATTTGTATGTATACATCTTATATCTTTGTTTGTCTGGATCGTCTACACGTCGTCTTTCAGTTTGTTTCTCGTGTATACTCATCATTGAGGAAACGAACATTGCCCTAAGATCATATGACCCTAAGTTCCAAAGTCTGCAAATATTTGTTGTCTTTGTTGTTCACTTACTTTTTCACGACATTTGTTACGACAGTTGTTCAGGGGCTTCATGATACGTTTTTCTATAGTTTTACCTGCTGCAGTCACATATTCCTGACCAAAGTTTCTTTTGGTTTTTCTTTCCCGTTTTCTCTTTCTGTTTTCTGTAACTGTAACTGGTTGTGTAATATCATCGGAAGAAGAAAGAATCTCAGGAGGATTATGCTCGTCATTAACTTCCAATTGTGTATGTCCTACGACACGATTAGAACTTTCAGGTACAAATGTAGGGTCAGTAACAGAATCGTCACTTGAGTAATCACTTATTTCAAGTTTTTTTTCTGGAATATACGATTTCTGGATACCCGATGTACTTGGCTCAGGTTCTGCTGCTAAGTCTTCCTGATTAACTAAAATAAACGAAAACTCAATTAAATAGGTATCAACAACAAATTAAAATATGTGTCATTTACGCTTGCACCAGGGATTTTCTAATAGTTAGATACATTTTTTTTTTTAATCTGATAGTAAATTTAAAGGATTTATAATATTTTTATTTATAAAATTATCTACTGAATTTTTTAAAACATTTCACAACCTTTCATTTAAATGTAAGTCATACATTCAAATGATAGAAATTGGTAGAAGCGTAAAAGCACCCCTCTTATCTTTGGTACGTAAATTCTAAGAATAATGTCCGTAATCCAATTAAATTAATATTATTGTAATCAAAATCAACTTCATCCTTTAAAGGGTTTTTAATTAAACGTACATCGTTTTCCCTTACTTTAACATTTCTACACCAATGGAACACATCTAGAAGTTTTCAAATATTTAAGAATTTACTGCACACTATTTACGTAGCATAGATGAAAAAAATATTGTCAACAAAAATAATACATACCAGGTCCAGGTGTATTCGAAATTAGTGTTTGTGAAACTAGCTCCAATATCTGTCTACCTCTAAGACTTGTAAATTTACTATTTAAATCCATTTCATTATTTAACAGAAATATATTTCAGACTAATAAAACTATCACTATATCAGGCCGTCAACTTTATCGGAACTAGTTGAAAATGGTTTTAAAACGAAGATTCACCCGAAACTCAAGTGTCTTGTATAAACAAAAGAGGAAGAGCCGACTGTGGATATCAATATCATCACGAAATACACTGACTCTGCATGTATTTAATACTTATGTCACTAACAATATTTATTATTTTAGAAACAAATTTGATGAGCATAAATACCTATATCTACATAAGTGGTTTAGAACGCCGTTTCATATCGAACTTGCTATATTTGTTATGACTAAGTAAAAGTACTTAAGTCGAGTTAAGTGTTTATTACAGCCACCGTTATGAAATCAAAATAAAGAGTTATAAAGAGCACGATAAAATACTTTGATATATAAGCGGTATATGACTTAGGTGTTTATTCCAGTTGGTGTATTACACAAATTTGGATAGTTTGCGAGATTATGTATTTTTCGTTAAAAAATGACTTAAGTGCTTGCGACCGCCGAGTCTAGATATCTTGTAGTGTGTATAGCATCTTAGTGAAAAAACTGGCTACTAAACATGAGATTTCCTGACCTACACAATATCCGAAAGGCATGTACAAGGTTATTATTTTAGTGCTCTTGATCAACAGTTGTTGGATCTGGATGGCTTCTTAGATGTTTTTCCAATGAGATAAGGGCAAATAATTCCTCCTATGCGAGGTGGCCAGTTCACTATCTAACTTTATTTTTACACTTCTTCTAGTCGGTGTAAACTTTCAGTGTTCTTGCATGAAAAAAATCTAGTCATTGTAAAAGTCTAGCGTTAAAGTCAGTCATCAATTTATTGTTAGATCGTCTCAATAACATAAGAATAGGCATAAGTTGTGTCAGTATCTTCTGCAAATAGATCTACGTTGACCACGACACCGACGTAGTCGGTGATAATTTTTTGAATTCAATAGCGATTTGTTTTATATTATGTGATGGAAATTAGTTTAAAAAAAAAGTAATTTGATTCAAGAATTTTATCATTTAAAAATAACATCCATATTGTGATAACACTGTATTTAATTGTTGTAACTAAACTGTTACCTTCTGTTCCAGGTATCAAAAGAAGAACTAGCAAAATTAGTTCAGGGCTTCGAAAAACAAGACATTCTCACATCCTCAGGCGTAACATTAGCCGGTAGCAGATACATATACCTCTCTGGCACAGACCGTGTAATTAGGGCGAAATTGGGAAAAGTTGGTGTACATTGCATGAAAACGACACAAGGTAAGCAATATCGTTAAATTGTGTATTGAGAACACCGTTTTTATATGTATAACCAAATTATTTTACGTATGCTAACTTAGATTTAAACGTCTTAATCGTATTAAAACTTTTGGCTCTGGTGTGACCAGTTATCGTCTATCTTTGTTAACTACTACTATTACTTGTCGGTTTATAACGTTCTCCGCCGTTTTCCGACTTCCAATCGCCACTTAGTCCGGTTGTCTTCTTCTATGGCCCTCTCTCTCAGTTCTTTATTTATTCCTTCGCTCCAATTTTTTCTCCGTATACTTCGTGTTCCTTCTGGTTACCACTTTAATAATATTTTTTTTGGTACTTGTTGTTCATCCATTCTTTGTATGTGTCCGAACCAGAGAAGTTGTTTTGTTGTTAGATCATCTGTGACTGTTCGTTTGATTCCTATTTTGTTCTAATGTGTTCGTTTGTAATCCTTTCTCTTCTAGATCTTCCTGCGGCTCTTCTTCAAAAATGCATTTCAGTCGCTTTCAGCGTTGCCAGTGTTCTTTCAGTGGCCATACCGCACAACTGTAGAAAGTGATACTTTTTACTGTATTCTCATATATCCTCTTTTTATTTTCTTTGTTGATGGAGTGGTCCCATAAAATGCTGTTTAACATTGTGATGGCTTTTCTCCCTGACGTATTTCTCTCTCTCATGGCTTTATCTAATGTTCCATCTTGTGAAATAGTAATACCTAGATATTTGTAGTTACAGCAGTGCTTTATCGAGGTGTTATAGTCTAATACGAGATCTTTTTGTTATACTCCAATGCACAGGTATTCGGTTTCTTTTTATGTACTTCTAGACCCCGTATATCATATTCTTCAAATAATTTTCGTGCCATATAGTTTAAATCGTCAATCTTGAGCCATTATTACTTGATCGTCTGCAAAGTTGAGCGTATATAGCATAGTATTGGTGAGCAATATCCCCACTGTCCTGCATTTTTGTTTCCATCTTTTTAAAGCGCTTTCGAGGTATATTTTAAATAAAGTAGGGGACAGACAACATCACTGCTTTACGCCTTTTGATGTTATAAATCCTGTTGTTATTTGTGTCCCTACTTTTTTTTTTTGTTATTGGCTGGTTGTATTGTACTGTATTAATATTCGTGCTTTCCATTGATTGCCACAGCTTCTTCAGTGGAACGCTGTCGTAGCCTTTACGTAGGTCGACGAACAACATGTGAATCTCTTGATTCCTGTCATCTTTTTTCTATTATCTGGTCTCTGTTAACCAATATATAATGTATCTCGGAACATCTTGAACATTTCTCTTCATAATTTCATAAAAAATTAACAGACTAAACTCGATAGTTCGTCTCGATAATGAGGACAAATGTTTCTATATAGTAAACCCAAGACAACTTTTGAACATTAATTCAAAAACAGTGATAATTCAATTATCTTTTTCGAGTTTTCTTCGTGAACAATGTTTTTATTATAGAATGTACAATTTATATCACATTATACTAACGAAAAAGAAATAAACAATTTCTGTAGATATCTATAAAATTGGGAAAGGTCAATTTTATTATTTTGACTAACAAATTAATAAACCACAATTATTGATGATTACATTGTATTGAACTTGAATTTTTGTTTATGTTAAACAGATAAGGAGATACTAATTAAAAACGAAAGACACCGATATGTAAACAGTGCTTCTTTTAAATAAAGTTAAGTGGGCATGATATGGGATAGTATTAGTGACCAATTTTAATGAAATATTTGAATAAAAAAAAGAACCCTTTTTACTGACTTGTTTGACAACTTCGCGCATAAGGCTTTTAGGAAGACTGTTTAAAATATTGTACAACATAGTGGTGTTTGTTAAATCCCCTAACATCAATGATGGCTTGGTCAATATTTGTATATAATATATGAGACAATTTTGCCTGAAATATTTTCGACTGGTATAAAGTTTGTTGCTTGGCGATTTTCGCGAATTAAATTTTGACAGTTAATACACGAGACGTCATTCAAGTGATTTTGGCAAAATTTCATAAGCGAAAATTGCCAAAAGGCAACAAACTTCAATAAAACCAGAAGAAAATTTTGCCGCTAAATAATTTTCTCTAGAATGATATTCGACAATACTATTTCATTAGATAATGAATGTACTGTATAAACGAAAAATAATCTTTATTTATTTGTTATCAATATTAAATATACAATTATTATAAGCTATAGTAGTTTGCCCATTTTTTTCTACCAAAGCATGATTTTGTGTATTATTGACCTGTAGCATTTGAGAACTCGAAGGTCCAGCTTCATTTGTTCTTTTGAGATTTTCGATAAACTTCTGGTGGTGACTGGTATCCAGCTGCAAATTTGGTTTTAGAGAGCTTACATTTGAGTGACACCTTAATTTAATTAATTCCTGTTCAGAAACACCTTGTTAGAACAAGGCTGACACAGCTGAAGATCGATGAGAATGGTTTGTTTTTTATGTTTTTTGTGTCTATTCCAATTTTTTAGCTGACCTTTTTGTCCACTTAGATACGGTGTTAATTCCAAGTGGACAGTTTTTAAACAAATATCCTTCCAGTTGGGGTGAACGGTAAGAAAGAGTCTGTCTGATAAAATGTTTGGTCCTCTTTTTTCCATTAATTTCAAAAATAATCTAACTGGGCATAAATTTTTGTTTGATGATTTTCTTACCAGCCATTAGCTGCTTGGCAAACTTTTCGAACCGCCTGGATTTGTTTTGGAAAAAATGCTGTTGTATTCAATTCGTCCCGTAAATTCTCTCACAACATCAAATTCCTTTTGGGAAAAGTGAATCTTGCAGTTTACGGCCTCATTGCGTCTCATTCCAAATCTTGTTTATGAGCACATGCATTTGTCCTACTAGGTATTCGCCACCTAATTTATATAAATACTTTGTAAATACCTGCAGCTCTCGATGGACTGGTCATGTAATGAGAATGGAAGCCAAAAGAGAGCCGTAAAGAACCCTTGTAACATTTTTTTTTATTATTAAAATATTAATTATTTTTAATTTCTTTTACCCCCGTGCGATACGCCGATGATTAGGAATTCCCGTGTTTACGATAAGAAAATAATATTGGATGTACTAAATTATAATGGACTTCCCTAATTACTAAAGGTAGTTAATCCTTTCCGTCTTAATACTCAGTATGAAAAGATCTAATGCTTTCGGGTATGCAGGTTCTTATCTTTTGACAATAACTTAATCTCAAGTATTGTCTGCTTCTCATGTCCAATTGTTGGTACCGGTAACTCAAAACTTTCGGAATTTTTACTTCCTCAGAATTACCTACAACTGTCCGATGATTTTAAGTGGGGGATATACCTTCTTCTTTTTTCTTGGATAGTTCGTGAAATTTTTAGTGGAACCAAGTTACTTTTCTGTGGGCTCTCGTTGAGCACAGGTCGATTATCTCGTGAGACTTCTCGGTGGCCTCTCGTTGAGTGTGGTCGCTTGCCTGAAATTATCGTCTCTGTGAATTATTTTCTAAGTGTGTATACACTCTATATTTCAGTTTTCTTGTCTTAGACTATATTAAGTTATATATAGTTCTACACTACCTTAATGGTACTTAATTAAATTCAGTGTTGAATACCAGTATAGTATATTAAATTCAGTGAATGAAGCTGCCGCCATCAGGAATTATGTAAGTTACCATAATCTTTATCTGCAAATTATCTGGGCGAGTAATATGGTATGGTATCATATCACTTGCCATTTTCTGGACGTATCACCCATCATTCATCCATATCTTCATCTGTAGATTGCCGATTTTTATATTTAATTTAAAGAACAATTCAAGAACTTTCCATAAATAATAACTATGAACATCTCCGTTTAGCATTAATTAATAGTGCGAGATAGTAACCCACCTATACTTCGATCTGGAAATCTTACGGAGTGACGTATTTTTAAAGTATAGACAGTTACGGTGTCGAGCGGAAGGACGTGAGGAAGATCATAGGCGTCGAGGTTTTTGGATAAATATTTACAGCAATTTTATTAATATTAATATTTAATTTTGTAAGTACCTCAAAAATATTTTTAAAATAGACTAATAAAATTTTAAAATTTAGTATATTAAATAGTACATTTTTATACAAGTAAATGAATTACTATTATATCATTTTCGGGCTCAAATAAAAGAATCGAAATAAAATTCGCAATAAAATTAATCGGCATCATCAAACAATGCATGTTTGTGTTCCCAAAGATATCAACAACACAATCAAATTCCATCTTACGTTCTTGGTGAAAACTTACGAAAATACTTTTCAAACTGAATTATTAATCAATTTTACATAACTTACTTTTAATCAACATCAGAAATGTCTGAGTGTTCGCTATCTGCACCAAGTTGAACGACAATTGGTTCCATAATGACGTCTGCCTGTATATCTAAATTCCACATATTTTCTTCTTCTTTCTGCGTGTGAAAGATGCAGTTTTGCCAGTTCTCTGGGTAACGTTATTTATGGCTTCGTAGAAGAGCGTACATAACTGAAAAGTAGAATTTCTACTTGCAACCTCTTTTTTTATTTGTGCCAAGATTATAGGATTAAGCTCACAATGGTGTGGTGGTTATCGGTGAATAAAAACCCATGGTTACGAGATATTTTATCAAAAACGTATTTTAGAAATTTTTGTTTATGCTGTCCTGCAATATTTAGTAACTCCGGCTTAACCATAGACTTGTAATACCCAATTTCTTTCCTATCTAGCCATTTACTTATTTCTCCTTTTCGCCAACTTGTTGATGGAAGCTTTTCTATTTGACGACTTTGATAGGAAGCATTATCTAAAATGATTATTAAGCCAGGTTCAATTTTTGTCAATATGAACAAAAACCAAGTTTCAAATTTCTCAGTATCCATGTCCTCGTGATAATCTCCAGATTTTTTGGATTCAAAAACTGAGAGTCCTCCAGGAAAAATCCATGTTCACTACCAATATGTGTTATTATAAGATGTCGGCCCTTACTTGATGGT